ATAAAGAATTGGCCAAAAATCGGAATGTTATTCTTTCAAGACCGATCCGAATATGATGGTAAGTTGAGGACTATACTAGCCGATGACAGCAAATTCAGTCAAAATACGAAAGAAAAGGATAAAACGCAGGAGTCAAAAACAAAACTAACGGAGATATCGAAGCAACTTAGGGCTGAAAATTATATCTCCAGGGCTACATTTAACAAACTCATTCCAAGTGGATCTCAACCACCGAGACTCTATGGATTGTCCGAAATTCACAAGCCAAATATGGCACTAAGACCAGTGATTGACAGGAGCAATTCAGCCTACTATGCCATAGCACAGTGGATTGTAAAAATTCTAGAGCCTGTACAAAAATCTCTATCCAGATATAGTGTAAAAGATTCTTTCGCGTTCGTTGATCGTATCAGGAATGAAGACGTGTCGCATAAAACAATGCTCTCCCTTGATGTCGAATCCTCGTTCATAAATGTCCCACTACTGGAGACGGTAGACTATATTTGTCAATACATCTTCGAAAACAATATCCAGATCGAAATCCCCGTGATGAAACTTAAAGAACTCATACTGAAATGTACTTGAAACGTACAGTTTTTGTACAATCAAAAGTACTATTGACAGAAGGATGGTATAGCGATGGGATCACCACTTGGCGCAAACCTGGCAGATATATTTTTATCCAAGCTCGAAGATGGACCTTAGAGGAACACAATTGACAGTCTAGATCTATACACTAGATATATGGACGCTACGTTCACCATTTGCGACTCCGGAAGGGATATTAATAACTTACTTGAAGTATTCAACAACGCTCATCCGGGTATACGATTTACAATGGAGGTAGAAAAAGACAACTGATTTTCCTTTCTGGACATTGGTCTTCGTCGTATGGAAGATGACCATATCGAAAGAAGAGTACACCGTAAGTGCACGTGGGTTGGACAGTACACACATTTTAAAAGTTTCGTCCCACTGAGATACAAAAGGAATTTAGTGAACTGTCTAGCATACAGAGAGAACGATACAAAGAGAACTTGTAGTCTGGAGACTGAATGAAGAGTTGAACTACATAAGAGACATCCTAAAGAAGAACGGCGTTTTGTTCGACGACATATGGAATCGAAACCAACCGATTGAAAAGTACAATTGGCTAGAAAGAAGGTGTTTGTCAACATTCTCTTCACGGGAGACAAGGCATTAGAAATCTTGGAATATCGATTATCCAAAGCCATTGCCAACTGTTTTCCCGCGGCGTATCTAAGACTCTCACCCAGGACTAAACCATTCATTCTTCAACAACTTAAGGATAAATTACCTCATCAGTCCCAATCTTTCGTTCTGTTCAGTTTTGTTCTTCAGTTCACGTGCATTTGTAGTGCTCGTTATATCGGACACACAACGAGGCGTTTGTCCAAGAGAATATCTGAACACTGTCCGGCCGCTCTTCGAAAAGGAACAGTGAGAAGCTTGCATAGCTCAATCCTGCAACATTTGGTCGACATTGGACACAGAATTCACCCAGAAACATCATTTACAAGTTTCTTCATTGCACCTAAGAACCGCGCCAATAGGTTACGTACGAAGATCCTGGCAACTGCGGAAGCCATAGCAATTAAGATCATGAAACCGGAGTTGTGCAAGCAATGTAATCTCGTTCAGGCGCTGATGTTACCATGACCATAAGAACAGTTACCTATATCTTTATGTGGCACCTTCAATTCTCTCCCTCACCTTCCCCCAGTACCCATTTGCTGTCTTTTCTGCAAACGTTCACACCTGTTTTATTCATTCTGGACCAACACATTTCATATCATCTCTAGTTCACACATTTTTCATTCCACTTTTCCCTATCCAATTATCGTGATTCCATAACCTGTCAACCGAACATTTGCACACACATTCACTTAAATTCTGCCTAGGCCTTGTACTAATCTACCGACTACTCGAACTATATATGTAAATACCTGAAGCGAGACATCGAAAAATAATTTATTCGAGTTTCGACTTTGTTCTTATGCATTCATGGGAATATTTTACGATTTGAAACAAAGCGAACATCCTATGGCGTTAAGAGACCTCAACAAATACTTGAACATTAACGTGAGGTTCGTCGAAGAGAAGGCTACCGTAAACATTATCAATGAGTGTGTGCAAAACGATCGTTATTCGAAAACCTACTGCACAGAGTTGCCTAGAACTCAAGTCAAACCAAACACCCGGTCGCTCAGACGTAACGCATTAAACCAACTGAACATAGCTCAATCTAACCTTGATGAAATGAGATGAATGATCTCGAGATACAGGACCGCGGTTAAGGAATTGCAGGAATGCTACCGGAGGAGGTTTCGGGACTATGTTAGTTCATCCGGTTTGCATCAATGCCGAAAGAAGGTAAAAGTCGTGTAATGTTGCCACTTCGTTTTATCTCCACAATCGCTGAGGTAAAATCTTCTTAAGTCTCTGTAGTAATTGTGGTATGAGTACTGGGCTCTGAACAAGAAAGACGAATCACACATTAGCAATTACGGATGCAACGTAAGCACTGGACCACACTGGCACTTGCACGCAGTATCCCACGTAACCGAGACACGAGGAAAAAGCCCCAATAGTAGTAGTTTGTTTATTGAAAGAAATAAGGGGGATTAAATAATACGTACAAAACTAGCTCATTGGTCATCCAGGTCTCTGCCAAACGCGTTCTAGTATTTCTGGCGTTGTTCAGCATCTGTCTGTGCCGCACGGTTTCTGATTGGCTGGTACAATCGACCTATGGTATGTAAATCAGAAGCTGTGACACTTACGCGCAATGCTGATGTCACTTGGGAAGCTTGATTCATTAGAGTTGTCCGAAACCTATAACGTGTCGCTCCGTGGTATGCATAATCTCTTAGACCAGGATCACCACAGTCTCCCATGCCTCATGTAAATGTTCGCCCACTATGATAAATAAATAAATCAAGCAATCAGTATACATATATAATTTTTCAGAGTAGTTAGCCACATCACGACCAATAGGAATAATTTACGGTGCGCTGTTGCAGTGGGAGCAGTCTACTATCGGAATGGGATGCTCTGCTCGTGCTGAGAATCGAACCGAGCGAGACCTTGCGCACACGACTGAAC